CACACACACACACACGCAAATACACACAGAAAATCTCACAAACATCCACTCACACAATCACACAAACAAACACACACGGATACACTCGTCAATCACAATCGCATAATCAAGACATCGAACACACGGTCGTAGTGCGTGATACAAAGTCGGACAGACAAACAGTCATACATTCAGTCAGACACACACAGAAACACGTGCAAACAAACAGCACAACTCTTAACTCATACACGACTCAATACTTACCTCTTTCTCGATCTCATCCCCACTACATACATGGACACACGCATGCACATGCAGATACTGATCACCTTGAACACGCAGTTCCGTAAGAAGCCTTACCAAACATAAGTCACGCAAATGCACACCACTTCACACCATCACATAGTCATTCACAAACACAACCTCACTGTTCATCCACATCCCACTCACCTCAATCTCACTGTTTGCACAACGATTTCCAACAACACTCTAACTAATCAAACACCACTATTCACTCAACACAACACACAAAATCAAATTCAAACTCATCATGGTCAGTGACAGGAGCATCAACAGTAATATCACTAGAAGCAACTTTAACAAAGTCAAAATCAGATGCTAAATTCACGACCTTCAATAAAGTGAATCCTACGAAATACTAACTACTTCCACGACCATAACCAAAACAACACCAAATACTATCACAACAATGCTGCTAGTACAAGTACTATTGTTACTAATACTAATACGTTTACCACTGATAACATTGCTTCCATTACTGCTAATAATATCAATGATACAAATCACATGATCAAGTAAGTGCACTTCGTTAAAATCGAGTACAATCATAGACACATTGACATTTGTCGGACCTAGTGCACTTACTATGTGTTGACTGAATGCATTCCAACTTACCTGGCTGACCGTCTCCCTCTCGTCGCCTCCTCCTTCGCCTGTACCGAGCCATCACCTTTCCGGACTTGTCTGTCACGTTCATATATTCGTCCTCAGGTGTTGTCGTTTCGCCTGTAAGAGAGAAGAGGGAAAGTCAGTCAGTGTCAGTCTGCGTGATAGATTCTGTGTCAGCAAATAAATCTTTGCAGACAACAAACTCCTTCGTTCACATCTCCTACGGACACATAACACACCATCGACTATCAACACAATATAATTCGTCTCATATGCAAACTCAATCCTAATCAACCAACAAACGATTCACTCAATCGAACTCGATCTAATACGCCTTCTAATCGATCAAGTACATAATATCACTGTCTCTTCTGTACAGTCCAACTCATCCACTCATCCAGACTCATCAATACAAACACACTCATACATGCAACAGTGTAAACATCTAACCAATCATACAAACATGCAATCACTTGCACAGACTATCAATACCGTTCGCTCAGCACCATCAAACTACAAACCATATTAACATATGCACAAACACACACACACACACACACACGCAAATACACACAGAAAATCTCACAAACATCCACTCACACAATCACACAAACAAACACACACGGATACACTCGTCAATCACAATCGCATAATCAAGACATCGAACACACGGTCGTAGTGCGTGATACAAAGTCGGACAGACAAACAGTCATACATTCAGTCAGACACACACAGAAACACGTGCAAACAAACAGCACAACTCTTAACTCATACACGACTCAATACTTACCTCTTTCTCGATCTCATCCCCACACATACATGGACACACGCATGCACATGCAGATACTGATCACCTTGAACACGCAGTTCCGTAAGAAGCCTTACCAAACATAAGTCACGCAAATGCACACCACTTCACACCATCACATAGTCATTCACAAACACAACCTCACTGTTCATCCACATCCCACTCACCTCAATCTCACTGTTTGCACAACGATTTCCAACAACACTCTAACTAATCAAACACCACTATTCACTCAACACAACACACAAAATCAAATTCAAACTCATCATGGTCAGTGACAGGAGCATCAACAGTAATATCACTAGAAGCAACTTTAACAAAGTCAAAATCAGATGCTAAATTCACGACCTTCAATAAAGTGAATCCTACGAAATACTAACTACTTCCACGACCATAACCAAAACAACACCAAATACTATCACAACAATGCTGCTAGTACAAGTACTATTGTTACTAATACTAATACGTTTACCACTGATAACATTGCTTCCATTACTGCTAATAATATCAATGATACAAATCACATGATCAAGTAAGTGCACTTCGTTAAAATCGAGTACAATCATAGACACATTGACATTTGTCGGACCTAGTGCACTTACTATGTGTTGACTGAATGCATTCCAACTTACCTGGCTGACCGTCTCCCTCTCGTCGCCTCCTCCTTCGCCTGTACCGAGCCATCACCTTTCCGGACTTGTCTGTCACGTTCATATATTCGTCCTCAGGTGTTGTCGTTTCGCCTGTAAGAGAGAAGAGGGAAAGTCAGTCAGTGTCAGTCTGCGTGATAGATTCTGTGTCAGCAAATAAATCTTTGCAGACAACAAACTCCTTCGTTCACATCTCCTACGGACACATAACACACCATCGACTATCAACACAATATAATTCGTCTCATATGCAAACTCAATCCTAATCAACCAACAAACGATTCACTCAATCGAACTCGATCTAATACGCCTTCTAATCGATCAAGTACATAATATCACTGTCTCTTCTGTACAGTCCAACTCATCCACTCATCCAGACTCATCAATACAAACACACTCATACATGCAACAGTGTAAACATCTAACCAATCATACAAACATGCAATCACTTGCACAGACTATCAATACCGTTCGCTCAGCACCATCAAACTACAAACCATATTAACATATGCACAAACACACACACACACACACACACGCAAATACACACAGAAAATCTCACAAACATCCACTCACACAATCACACAAACAAACACACACGGATACACTCGTCAATCACAATCGCATAATCAAGACATCGAACACACGGTCGTAGTGCGTGATACAAAGTCGGACAGACAAACAGTCATACATTCAGTCAGACACACACAGAAACACGTGCAAACAAACAGCACAACTCTTAACTCATACACGACTCAATACTTACCTCTTTCTCGATCTCATCCCCATACATACATGGACACACGCATGCACATGCAGATACTGATCACCTTGAACACGCAGTTCCGTAAGAAGCCTTACCAAACATAAGTCACGCAAATGCACACCACTTCACACCATCACATAGTCATTCACAAACACAACCTCACTGTTCATCCACATCCCACTCACCTCAATCTCACTGTTTGCACAACGATTTCCAACAACACTCTAACTAATCAAACACCACTATTCACTCAACACAACACACAAAATCAAATTCAAACTCATCATGGTCAGTGACAGGAGCATCAACAGTAATATCACTAGAAGCAACTTTAACAAAGTCAAAATCAGATGCTAAATTCACGACCTTCAATAAAGTGAATCCTACGAAATACTAACTACTTCCACGACCATAACCAAAACAACACCAAATACTATCACAACAATGCTGCTAGTACAAGTACTATTGTTACTAATACTAATACGTTTACCACTGATAACATTGCTTCCATTACTGCTAATAATATCAATGATACAAATCACATGATCAAGTAAGTGCACTTCGTTAAAATCGAGTACAATCATAGACACATTGACATTTGTCGGACCTAGTGCACTTACTATGTGTTGACTGAATGCATTCCAACTTACCTGGCTGACCGTCTCTCTCTCGTCGCCTCCTCCTTCGCCTGTACCGAGCCATCACCTTTCCGGACTTGTCTGTCACGTTCATATATTCGTCCTCAGGTGTTGTCGTTTCGCCTGTAAGAGAGAAGAGGGAAAGTCAGTCAGTGTCAGTCTGCGTGATAGATTCTGTGTCAGCAAATAAATCTTTGCAGACAACAAACTCCTTCGTTCACATCTCCTACGGACACATAACACACCATCGACTATCAACACAATATAATTCGTCTCATATGCAAACTCAATCCTAATCAACCAATAAACGATTCACTGTTTCCCTTTTTTTCATCTTGTTTTTTTTCTTTTTTTTTAAATTTTTATTTATTTATTGAATCTCTTCCGCTCCCTTTTGTCTTTGATTTGTTTTTCTTTTCTTCCCGTTTCACATGTGTCCTTTTTTATTTTGGCATGTTATTATCTCATTATCTGAATTATTTTTCACTTTTTTAATTACTATTCATTGGTATACATTCTCGTCTATTCTGTTTATATTTACTGTTTAGTTTCTTGTTTTTCTCATTCTGTCATTCATTTTGTATGAAATGTGTTTTTTTGAGAGATTTTTTGGTTATTTCAATATGGGAGTGGTTTCTTGCATTAGCAGTGCTGAGTATTCACATACTATTACGAAACGGCCATTCAGTTCTTCCAGGTTTTCCATGGTGATCTTGCTTCAATTGGCTCATGATTTCAACTATTGATTATTGTTTTTAAATACCATCGTCATATGGTTGTTGTTGATTTTTTTTTCTGATAAATTAAATCATCTCAGACTTTATCTTTCATTAGTTTTCTCGGACGGGTTCTTTGCATATCTGTGCTACCATCTATTCCTGCCATTTAAATAGTTCTCGAAGTTATCTGTTTCGTTGTTTGTTTAAACAGATCATTGTGACCGTTAATCCTATAACTTATTCAGGTCTATTTGTGAAACATTTATGACCTTTCACCTTACAAGTTACAAAAATATGCAATCACAGATACCATAATGGCTGGCAATATTCCTTGAAAAGAATGAAATGTTAACATTTAATTGGCGATCACTCAATATATTGATCGTCAATATCAATCAAGTAATAAGAAACGGAAACTTGTTGAAATACTCTGCGCTGAGAATTCTATATTGCACCATTGAATAAAACCACTAATAATAATAGTAATGAATAATAATAATAATGACAATATATATAGATCTTTGGACGTACGAGGTCCTATTCGTCGTCTTCTAATTCTCCATCTTCGTCTATGTAAATGTTCTTTTATTTTTTCCATGGATGTTGATTTACGAATACGTTTTCTTTTGCGTGTTCCTTTAAATGCAAAAAAACAACAACAAGAAAACACCTTGATCAACCAATCAAATAACAACACAATTTATGCTTGTTTACTTGTATATATTTTGATGAATTTACAATTATTTAAATAGCATTTCTATGGAACATTGTACATTAACCATTTACATTTTTTATTTGGATTTTAATTATATATATATATATGATATTGTTGTGAATGCTACTGATATCAATAGCTATGAGTAGTATGTATTAAAATTACTAAAATCTCCACAAAACCCCTTCTTATAATAATCAGCATATTCTCACTAGTGACTGAGTTCAAGATGTATTTCCTGGAAATCTAGTGTGAAGCAGTGACCAGTAGAGTTCAACCGGGTCTGTTGTGAGATAATAACTCACCGACGTCAGTGGTGGATGTGTCGCTCAATTGCGTGGATTATTTGAAGCTAGACATTAACACCGTTGGATGCCGGCCAGCTCAATGGTCTAGAGGTTAAGCACTAGCACGTGAGACTGGTAGGTTTTGTGTTCAAATCCTGCGAGGTGGGGTTGTGGATGCGCACTGCTGCGGAGTCCCACAATAGGACGAAAAGGCCGTCCAGTGCTTCCAGGTTTTCCATGGTGGTCTATCTTCAATTGACTCATGATCTCAACTATTAAGAATCTAGAAACACCTTAGTGACAAGTATCTAATGGCATAAAACTCATGTCCAGGATTTGCTACTGATTACCTCATATGATTAAGTTTATTGATATTTTTATCTGAAAACGGAAATAACAATGACTACTCACTAATAAGAATACGATTCTTTGCTTCTTCTGCTTCTTTCTGTACATGACGTCTAATTTTTTGTACAATAAATCTCTCTTTAGATTTTGACGATTCAATATGTTCATTAACATCTCGTTTTTTCGCTTTAACCCGTTCTAAAAGTTATAATAAAGTAAATTTTAAACTAAAACAAACACTTTTTAAACCATATCATTATAATAAATAAACTTCACGTATTCTATTCTATTCCATGAAATAGTGAATAACTTCTTTTTAAACCATTTTATTAACACTCACATTCTATCATAGGATAACCGAGTGGTCCAAGGTGCTGTGTTCAGGTTGCAGTTCACTTTGTGGGCATGGGTTTGAATCCCACTCTTGACACTGTACATTCTATCATACACTAAGTGAATTAAGGTTAATGAACTAATCAAATCCAACTTAAAAGGTGGGAAAATAAAAATAAAAAATTCATTCAAAGTAAGAACTAAAAAAATCCAGGGTATAAATATTGTCAATATCGGGATTTGTAGAGATCATAGTATTTTAATCGTTCAATTCATGAATCAATCTAAACTAGATCATCTTGCACGTAAATGTTTAACCTATAAATCACTAATCTATTATCCAATAGCATTATTGTTTAACTTTCATCGATTGATGATCTTGTGCATTTCTTCATTTACTATCAGAAACGAATCATTGTCGCTATTCGACACACTACAAATTCTTTAACGAATAGTTGAAAAACACTTACTTATCAATACACGTTTCATATCATCTTTCTTTCTACGAATTAAACTTTTCCAATCTTTTAATGTATCATCATTGTCAACTGTCGTAATGTCTTTTCGTTTTATATTCACTACAGTTCTTTTATTATCTTGTTTAAGGTAAAAATAACGATACAAGAATAATAAATTGAATGACATCAAATATATTTAATATGATATGGTGTAGTTTTTGGTGGAGTTTTGTTCTCTGAGCTGGATGGTTTGGTCGTGGAGCTTTCATCGTTCTTTTGAACGACATCATCGTTCTTCTGAACGATGAAAGCTCCACGACCAAACCATCCAGCTCAGAGAACAAAAGTCCACCAAAATCATCCACCTGAGCTACAAATCTCCACCATCTCGATATGGTGTAGTGTCAGTCATTGTTTTAAGCCCCTAATATATCCTTATTCTAGGTTTTGGACAAACCAATCTATTCATTCTACTTGAGTCATATGTTGACCTTGTCAATTATTCGCTTATCTGTCTTGACTGTTTTTTATATGAGTGTATATGTGTGTATACACTTCATATCCCATGTCTCATCACATGTCTGTAGTTTATTTTGTCTACCTATAAATATTGCGTAACGCCAGGCTAGAAATGGAGTTGGCTTACCAGCCATCTCCCCTGCGCGTCATTTTTCTTTGTTCTATCGCATTCACTTTACAAACAAAAATATATGTGTTCAAGGATCATTCTCGTTAATTGACTTATCTAAATTCCGTTATTGACTAACGTGATTTAAGCCGATAATTTTATACGAGAATAAGTGATAACAAATATTCGTACGATCTAAGTGGAGTCGGATCCACAGGCCACTAAAATGGATTGAAATAATTTCTAGCAAGTAATAACAATGATATAACTTCTAATGATCATCATTGTTAATCATTGAAATGTAATTATCATTGAAGTAATAAACGTGTTCGTTTGAAAAGAGAAAAATCATGTAGCATTAAAGGTATTCGTTCTATGATAACTGTTAGGATATACTTATGGACTAATATTATACGTATATCCTTCTTGTATCACCATTAACTGACTTCATTATACGTATATACACATATTCCATTCATTATAAGCTTCCATTTGATCTATTGACTTATATCATACGACTCACTATTCTCGAGATATTCTCCATGTATCAATGATAGTTTCTCACATTCACAATCACTTTTGACTACATCTTGTACAATTGTTATTTTTCATTGTATGGTGTGCTATGATGTGATTTTGCTTGTATATAAACAAAGTACGTCTGAAATAAATGATTCATGTAGTGGGAGGTGTTATTGGTGTTCTGAACTGAACTGGCAGTGCTAGGAGGAAAAGGAACCAATATGGACGCTAAGCTGCTCATACCGGTCAATACGTAATTGTTGTGGCACAATTTTATGATTGTATAAGTCGTATTCTGATTGAAGATTTTATCACATCTCAACAAGAACTAATGGAGTTCAACCATGTCAAGATGGATAAAGTTACCCATGACACCTAATAGAAGATGCTAACTTTGTATATAACAAAATGATGAAAATTAAATGTGTACTATGTAGAGTTTCAGCTTAGAAGATCAAAGGTTAAAAGTCCACCGATCTGATCTTTCATATGTTCGTCGATTTCCACTGATGAGAGATTCTATGCTAGGAGTAAACAATTTTTCAACTTTACCTGGTTTTCAGTAGTAGTTGTTTTATGTTTTTTAGTTATTTATTTCATCAGTTTTTTGTTTGAATTAAGTATATAAAGGTGGGTTTTTATTTAAAATCAATCTATTAATTCATATAGACTAATGAAGCATGTTTATTCAACTAATAGTTAACATTAAATGACGTTAATATAATGAATTTTCTATCAATATTGTTGGTTGATTAGGATTGAGTTTGCATATGAGACGATTTATATTATGTTGATAGTCTATGGTGTGTTATGTGTCCGTAGGAGATGTGAACGAAGGAGTTTGTTGTCTGCAAAGATTTATTTACTGACAAAGAAATATTATTAAGAATGTATTGTGGAATGTACAAAATACATCATATGGAGTAATACTATAAAATTCATATGCATATCTCGACATTAATTACAAATATAAGATAATTAGAATGTTAGGATTATTGAGTTATATCTTCATGTTTTACTTCGAATATTGTTTATTTAGGTACCACAGTAAATGGATAAGCCTTTATATTTAAAAAATAGAACTTAGTTAATAATTGATGAACTTTTATTGAAGGCATGATATCTGTTTGATAACTAAAAGATGGGGTAAACTGGACAGACAACTAGTGTGTGCTACTATTTGACTTTTCCAAATAGAAGACATCTATAGGTTTAAGGTGTTTTATCATATCTGTCTTTTAAAAATTACTTTGCTTATCATGAAACGATTGAGTGATAAGTGTTTATATAATAAGTAAATAACTAGACAAGGATGCGAAATGGATTATTGAGATTGTTAATTTTCATCAACTGAGTTGATTGGAATAAGTGTAATTATGTCTAAGCGTAGTCGACTATAACGGGCAATGTTTGATGCTATGATAGTAGGTTGGAAGTAACCTAGATACAGCGAATTCAGGATTCAGCATTATTCCATGAAGTCATTGACGGCAGATTTGAGGCATGTTATTAGATATAAACTATCGGTTCGGGGAAATGGTAATCAATTATTAGAGACTTTGAGTGACATGGCTCAAAATTGGTTAAAATGGCCTAAATGCATTTATTCTTTATGTCATTTTAACTCTTGAGTTCCATTATCCCTTCGTACATACATTTTCAAATGATTTGAATAATTTTTTCTGGTTAGACCAAAGAACACATTACGCCGAGAAACGGAGACAGACATGAGAAAAATGAACAAAAATGGGACATAACTGAAAAACAAGTCCCAAGGCACTGCGGGTTGGAGAATGCTAGTCGGCGGTCTATGCTCCATTGGGAGTAACAGGCGTAAGTAGGTAAGTAAGTAACGTATCTTTTCATCCTGTCTTTTCGAAAGATACCCTTAATGTTTAGTATTTCTCATTTGTGATTGTTACTACATTATTTTTGTTTTGTTAAATATTCATTTCGTTAAATTCGTCTAATTGTGTTAATGTGATATAGCAACTTGGGCCAACACATATCTTTGCTAAGCTCTACGTTGTTGACAAAGGACTGATTGATTGAGTTACATTAATTAGAAAAACTCCGCCTGGAGCCCCTCTGGGGTTACTGCCGGTCCCAAGCCCGGATAAAGGAGGAGGGTTGGACATTAATTAGATATTTAATTCAGTATTGTTAATAGTATTAATAATAGACTTACGAAGTAACCATGATGAAAATATAACTTACCACCTTCTGCTGGAGATGCTTTATCTGAATGTATTTTTCCCAAAACACGTCTAATACGTCGTGTAATCATTCTCACATTCATGTTACCATTGTTTTCACTTTCTCCTTTTATATTATTCAGTAAAACAAAGTGTATCAAATTATCAAATTTGAAAAGAATTATGTAAAATACACAGATAATAAGAATATGCATTACAATATATAAAAAATGACAGAGTAATCAAAACATAATTAATGATTATAAGAAAAAATAGATGTTGGTTAGTAATCGCCTCCAGAACTCACGTTTCGTCCTATTTGGTATTCGTCAGCTAGATGTACCTATATCCCAAAGTTGATGTTCAGGTACATCTAGCTAATGAATTCCAAGTAGGATGAAACGCGCATCCTAGATTTCATTGTTAGACATTATCGATCTTTGCTTATAATGCTTGTGACTTAAGACAATATCGAGACAATACGCACAGTACGCACATATGCCAAAAAGAGATTGACTAGTTGCACTCCTAAACATCAATGGGAAGATTCAAGTAAAGAATACCGAGTGAATTTATAATTGATGAGTCTTTAAAAATTGAATGTTACCTTTATTTATGATTTAATAACAGTTGAAGAATACTAAAAAAAAACGATAAAGTACCGTTTCGTGAAAGTTTAATACTCTTCACTAGTAGTGATCATCTGAAACTATTGAAGTTATATAGCTTAAAATGTTAAGGTCTTATAACAGCCATAAAGCCAATGAGCCAAAACAATTAAAATTCAATAGTTTATACTTTTAAACTCCATTAGGATATAACTAATACAAAAGCTTATAGAACTGTCATAATTACTGTGAAAATAAAGTTATGTTGGATGATTTGAGGTATGCTTGTTCAAAATAATTCCGTTTCTAATATTTGGAGTAAACAATAAAGAATAGTCATATTTTATTGTATTTTAATGTTCCATATTCATAGCGTTAACGGTTGTTTAGTATGCATATGTTACTGAAGTGTGGAGCTCACACACTAAAAACTTCCCATTAGAAATCAATCCGCGACCAGCCTCAAGTAGTCATCCTTTGGGCTCTGTTGCCACCCCCCCCCAGGTTGCTAAGACCACTACTTATTCAACTTCTTTTTCAGGTCCTTCAAGAAAAATTAATGTTCCATAATATGGGCAAGCGGTAAATGAAAACCGCTCTCATACTTCTATCAGCAAAAGAGATCATATTGTTGACGATCGAATCTCTCCCTCACTTATTATTAATTCTTCCATCCCCTATGACTAATCCTTAGCACATCCGTTGATCAACATAAGCCACCAATCCTAATAATTTAAGTTCACGAAATGTTATCTCTGTTTTTCTGAAGCCACTCTCTGAAGTATATGTTGAAGCTTTTAATACTCAAACTTTATGTCCGATAGGAAAACGGGTTTCTTTAGCTAAAACTGTCGAAGCTTGAACAATAAGTACATGCTGCACCCCGAAACGCGTATACAGCATCCACGTACAGTTATTCATTTAACCTTGCCTTGTCACTATAAAGAACCTTCACGATTTACCAATCGACTATCCAGAGACCCAACTGCCGCTTTCTATGGTCTCAGTTATTTAGGTATAGCTTCAGGTTCTACAACAGAACAGGCTCTGTTAGACTGGGTTTCTATAGACAGTCACTTTTGCTCTATTCAACTAAACGGGACAGTAAGAACTTGATAAGATAGGAGCACACACCGTCGAATTTTCCTTTTCTCTACCTACGCTCCCATTGATTGCAACTCGGACGAAGTTAAGGATGAATTTTATAAATAAATAAAAAAGCTAAAAATATATTTCAAGAACAATTAAAGAAGTAAATAGTCAACCGTGAAAATGATATCCACCCTGAGATAACTTAGTATGACATCTAAAAAGCTTTAGAAGCAGTGGGTTCTATCGACATCCAATGAACTGAGTGATGCTCTGAATTTCATCCCGCCTGGCTTCGAACACAATGAGGAGCGGAGGCAGCTTAAATGTAGGTTAACAAAAGGCCTACGTATTGATCGTGAGCAGCGGTAGGTTGCGAAAGCAGAAGAGATGGAAAATACAGCAGCGATGGTTAATAGTAGATGACTGTTCATACTTATCAAGAAAAATGGTTTTAAAAATCCCTCTGTCAATGAAACTATCTTAGAAAAGATGAGGTCATGATTCACTCTCAATCCAGGAGATTAAGCTGATGGACGGAACACTTTGGCAACCGCTTAACCTGTTTTCAGCCATACGCAATAACTCCAAGCAATATGAATGGCAAGCAGATATAAGTCCTTCAAATCTTAGTGAGGTTTAGAAGGCTATAAGTAATCTAAGACGAGGAAGAGCAGCAGGGAGTGATGGACTAACCCCTGAGGTTATTAAGGGTGTTTATCCTGTTTTCGAAATTAGATTGACTGGAATCTTAGCCAAAATCACAGAACTGGACTGTTGTGGATGCGCAGGAATAGACCAATAATTATCATGTTAAGTCCAATGGTGTCCTTGGACTTTAAATGGAATTTCCTATTGGTCGATATCTGTTCACTTGTACAAAATGTTGTTTCTATTTTTATGGTACGCTGTGGTATGCTTGACTGGTATATAAACAAAGTATGTTTGAAATATAGTGATTCATATCTCAGAGGTTGTGATTTGTCTTCTGGACTCAACTGGCTGGGCTGGACAGGGAAGCAGGACCAATCGAGACTCTAGGCCGTCCGTACGTGTTTGCGTGTCATTGTAATCGATCGATAAGACAGGGTAGAAATCTACATCAATTTAAAGTCATAACATGGACGTAATCCCAGTTTATAAGAAAGGACAAAAATTCTCATATGACAATCACTGAGGATTCAATTTAACTTAAATGGTGTCTAGAATATTCACCTCAATAATACTTTTACGTCAAAATTGAGGTTGTGAAGAGCGAACCTGAAGAAACCAGGGCGGCTTCAGAATTGTACATGGATATATAGACTAAGTATTCACTCTTCATCAGATTCTGTGACATAGACATACTTTTCTGTGTCCGACTATGGTTGTATTCATTCATCTTAAGGCAGCGTTCGACCACATCGGTGGTGAGGTAACAGTGTAAAAATGTTTGGAATTCATTCTCTGCTTCCAAATGTAAAATTTTATTTCAGGACTGGCTTGCATCATCACAATAAATTATTGATAGAGAGCGAAGTATTTGGGCTCATAGACCACTTCCCTTATATTGGGAGTCTCATTAGAACTGATGGTCTGGTGTCTGACGAATCTCGGCACGAATTCAGAAGGCTCGAATGGCTTTTGTCAACTTATGTCACTTGTGGCGTAGGTGAAACATTTGTCTTCCAACTAGAGGAACAGCTCACTACTCAGTAGTTCTCTCTGATCTACTTTCTAGATGCTAGTGCTGTATGGGAACTTGAACTGGCGTACATTCGTTCCAATTTCTACGTTGTGACTATCCGACAGTTTTTCAAGACCAGATTTTTAAAAATATCACATAAAATAAACTTCATGTTATCGAACAAGTAAATATTCTTAAAGCTTAGATCACTGACTGATTTCACCTAGACCATCACTAAAAACCTGAATTCAGTGGATTGATTGAATTTAGGCATGTACACCTTTAGATGCCAACTCAATGGTCTAGCGATGAGGGGTTTGGGAGCGAGACTGAAAGTCCTTGGTTTGATTTCTTGTGACAGTGTCACAAGTTCAAACTACTGTTGAGTCCCATACTACATTTGAACGCCCGTCCAATGTTTCCAGACTTTAAAATGTAGTCTAGCGAAGATCAGCTTGTGATTTAAAGTATGAAGATTCTTAAATCCCTCTGCAAACCCCCCTTGGAAAAGCAAATATTTGACATAATATTAAGCTCTCACACATACCATATCTTATTTTTTTTCTTTTCACGATTCGTTTTGCAAGTCGCTTCTTTTTTATATCAGAATAGAGGTCTAAAACTGATTTAGGATTTACTTCCACAGGGAAATCGAATTGTGAACCTGCAATATAAGCAAAAACCAAAATACAGCATAAACGTAGTAAAAAAAACTTCCGATAATTATCAATGTGACATAATCGTCGAATCTTGATAGATTTAATCCTTATAGTCACTATAAAGTATTCGTAAACACTTTGTATTTTCCATGATACATTGCTCAGATAAATTGGTTGAACTGAATCAATTAAAGACAATATTGTTATATCCGGACAAGAATAAATGAATAGTAACTGTTAGGATATACATATGGACTAATATTATACGTATATCCTTCTTGTATCACTATTAACTGACTTCATTATACGTATATACACATATTCCATTCATTATAAGCTTCCATTTGATCTATTGACTTATATCATACGACTCACTATTCTCGAGATATTCTCCATGTATCAATGACAGTTTCTCACATTCACAATCACTTTTGACTACATTTTGTACAATTGTTATTTTTCATTCTATGGTGTGTTGTGACGTGATTTTGCTTGTATATAAAGGACGTATTGTTGGGATATTCAGGAAAATATCCCAAAAATTATCTTGTTTAGCCTAATGCTATCTTTGGACATGAAATGGTATCATCTTATTGGTCAATATTTATTTAACGAGTCATTTTCCTACTGGCCATTATTGTACAATGTTATTTTCTATTTTATGGTACGTTGAGGTCTGCTTGACTGGTATATAAACAAAGTATGTTTGAAATATAATGATCATATATCCGAGGCTGTGACTTGTGTTCAGGACTCAACCGGCTGGGCTAGACAGGGAAGCGGGACCAATCAGAACCCTAGGCCGTTCTACTTGTTTGCGCGTCTTTGGTCCGATCAATAATTCGCTACCCCCCTCTATACAGCAGCAGTTTTTCAAGTCATAACACGTATGTCTGAAATAAATTATTCTTGTGGTGATAGATGTTATTGGTGTTCTGAACTGAACTGACAGGCAAGATGTAAATGGGATCAAATGGGATTTCTAAACTGCTCATACTGGTGTATACGTCATTAATTTGATCGTATAAGTCATCATATATCTAAATTGTCAATCATAATTCTCGGGATAATTGTATAGCTGAGAACATAACAATAATGATAGTTGCATTCATGTACATAATTTAGATCAAAATATTACCAATGCAATTATGATTCAATTTTCGTGTCAATAACTTTTGCATATAACAAAATGAAATAAATGGAAATGTTATCAGTGATGTAACTAACCTGCTTGTATATTGACAGGTTGATCATATTTTGTATGTGTAATGTTTGCTGAATGATATTTTGTTTCATTTCTCATATTGATTACATTTGATTGTGGTGAATGTCCGACAACTTTGATGACATTTTCACCTTGTAATACTACGTTTTGTTATGAAAAAAAAATATCACCATAAAAAGTGAACTAGAAAAAAAGTGGTTGTGAACAAAGGAACATAGAAGCTATGACAAACATCGGAAGATTTCGGGGGGCGGGGACTATTTTGCTTAATTCTAAGCTTCTAAAACACTAACATTTATTTTCACCTTTAGCTAATTCTATAAGCCATAAGCTTTCGTTTGTTGCATGATTCACTGAAATACCCTTTCCCGTTCCCTAATTCCGTTTTGGGTATAATTGTATTTTTCTAATTGTTTGTGCGTCGTGGTCATGTTAGTCGTCGTTGTGGAGACTGTTAAGTTCTTGATTGAGATCATGAATCGATGAATATTAGACCACCATTGATAAGCTGGAAGCACAGGATGGTGGCTCTATTTCGTGGATTTGTTGAAGTTCGACACTAACAGCACTGGATGCCAGATCAGTTGTCTAAAGGTCAAGCGTTCGTGCACGAGACCGAAAATCCTGGGTTCGAGTCCGGTGTGCAGAATTGTAGATGCGCACTACTGAGGAGTCCCATAATAGGTCGAGATGGCCGTTCGTTGCTTCCAGCTTTTCAATGGTGGTCCATCATTTATCTGTTTATTCATGTATCCTTTTTCACGAATCGGAATCTGTCTTATTCAACACATTCTCTCTATATGAATTATTTTACTGGTAAATTTTCGGGACTCTGAAGTAATTTAGCTCACTTGTCCTTTGGATCTTTATTTACTTGTCCTCTGAAATCGCTTTCAACTTCCACTAGTGAAATTATAGGAATATTATATGTTTAGTCTCTATTATTACTGAGCCACTCATTAAAATTTCATACCCTCAGATATTTTACACTTACATCGTTTCTGGTAAACTAAACTAATATGAATAATATTTAACCCTAACAGCAGATCATAAAACAGCCTAGTACATCTATAACGGTAGACCTAACACAATAATTATCGTTATTGTTTCTATGTACTCTCCGTTTCTGCTTTCTTTTCTCTACTTGTAAATGATTATAATCACTCCATTACGGCATTGAAAATAACCTTAAATATACTGTTCCTGTATGTTCTAGTTCCCTGACAAAGAATTAATGGTTTTCAAATGATCCTTCACATTGTTGTATGAGATTCTGTGTATAACTCGGTTACTGAGATAGGATCCTTGAATGGATTCTACAGTGAAATCTTATAACATTTACTTACTAATCACTGTGAAGGTTATGTATAGTTGAGATTATAACTTTTAAACATGTTTTAAACTAATTTCTAACTATTTTGAATATATACAACCACACAATATCGAATCTCAAATTTACGTTTAATTCAACAGGAGAGATCATTTGTAATTAATGAGAACGATAACTAATGTATTAATTTGTTTCCGATAGCATAAATTAATATAATTTACACTCAGTTAACTTACATGGATTTGGTTTCGGTAAACATTTAGCGTCAAAATCAATGGATATAGACTTAAGCTCATGACCTTTTGGAGTTAAATGTGCAATTGGAATATTACATCTAACATCACTTGTGTTCTTAGGTACTAGTCAGATAAAAAAAGAAACAAATATTCATTTAATAGTTGAATTCACGAGTCGATTTAAGCTAGACCATCATGGAAAACCTGGAAGCACTGCTCGATCGTCTCGTCCTAGTACGGAGCTCCTCAGCAGTGCGCATCTACAATCCTGTACAAGGGACTCGAACCCAGGACCTTCTGTCTCGCATGTGAACGCTAAACCTATAGACAACTGGTGTTAATGTCTAATTTCAACCAATCCATGATATTGCAAGACCGTACACCATTGTGTTCCGCGAATAACGGCCGTACAACTGACACAGTTGAACTCCACTGGTTAGGACTTATCACTTGGACTCCACGAAATACAACTTGTGAGTACATGATACTCATATATTTTCTAATATTTATGTTTCCCTTCCTAAACTAATAAGGGTGAAGATCATATTAAACTCGACTCAAAGTTAGTTGTTGACGGTCAGAAAGTGTAACTGGTTAAAGAGTACTACTCTATTTCAATGGTCAGAATGTAAATTTATCCCATAAGAAAATATTACAGGATTCTGATTGGTAAACCTTATCAATTTGTGTCGACCAAAATATATAGATCATAACATTTTCAGTATTAAGATCTTAATTATCTTTCACCAATAATAGTAAATAGTTACCTTAAGAAAAATCATAGTTCCAGAATAAATTGAAAATTAAGTTCTGTGTGTGAAGTTTAAAATTGATAGTTTACATTGGAAATAGTCAAGGAAAATATATGGAGTAGAATGATGTTTCTTCAAATTATCTTAGAGTAACCTTGTATTCGTTGACTGTTAGATAATTTCTAAAGTCAAGACACCAAGTACTATGTTAGTTAGTTAGAAATTATTAAATAGAAGCCCTGGATCCAGGTTTTACTGTAGTTGAACCTCATCATCTAGCTAGACTTTAATTCCAAGGAGAACAAATGCTTTTAGCAGAATTTAAAACCCCATCACCAACCGTTACAGTTGGTGATGTAATACCTGGAGAACTTCAGTTTCTTAAAATATGCATATAAGCCTTTATTTCAAGTCTCAACTAGCACAAAGTCTATAACCAAAGCTTGCTTTCTATTGCTTTTAACAAGTTACCATTAGATAAATATTACCGCAAAATCGGTTCACTTTGACAAGTGGTCATGTTACAATTTGATTGTCAATATGTGACTTTATTCCTCGTGGTTGTCTACATAACAATAGAGTAACATTGATGTTAGTAAAATATATATTCTACGTATTTCGTATAAAGTATATCCACAAATCCCATTAATAACACCATAAATATGAAAAGTCATATAAGAAATCACTTGTGGAATGCATATTTCAAACATTCGATGATTCATGAGAAAAATAGGAAACGAACAGAAATGCACGTAAAATGAAGTGGCAGAAATAGTCAACTCAGTAAATGATAAATAACTCAGCATTTACAAGCACAAAAGAGATACATAAATCACATAGACACAGTACTATTATTTACACAAACTCAAGGACACACATAAGTGATATAATAACTGACGAGTCCCATACTTGGACGAAACGGCTGTCCAGTGCTTCAAGGTCTTCTATGATTGTCTAGCACCAACTGACTCATGAATTCAACTATTAAATCACCATAATATCCACAAAACCTCGCTCCGGTGATAATAGTTTATTTGTTTAGAACTTAGAAGATAATCGTGTAAGGGTATAACAAAGCTGATTTCTACATAACCAGTACCAAGGTCAGTAGTTGTCTTGAAATTACTAATCATTGTCAACTATGTAGTAACTATGAGGTTGAATTCATGTCATGCATATCGGGGTATTCAAACTAACACAAAACGATTTGTTTTTATAGGGACCATCCCTTCCTAATTATTGATTTATTAGTTTACAAACTCTAGACGGGATGGTCGACCGTAAAGTTTTATTTGACTTGATATTTGGTGATTCCAAATAAATGTTATTACTATCTGACTAATAAATTTCCTTGAATGAAAAATATTTTATTCAGAGAGGGGTTTTATGGATATTCTAGTAATTTATTAGTTGAATTCATGAGTCGACTTAAGCTAGACCATAATGGAAAACCTGGAAGCACTGGATGGTATCTCAATTTCGTGAGTTGGTTTAAGTTAGACATTAACACCGTTGGATGCAGGATCAGTAGTTTAAAGGTTAGGCGTTCGCACGCGAAACCGATAGGTCCTGGGTTTGAGTCTCGAGAGGTGGGATCGTGGATGTGCACTTCTAAGGAGCCCCATATTAGGATGAAACGGCCATCCAATGTCTCCAGGTTTTTTATAGTGGTCTAGCTTAAATCGACTCATGAATTCAATTATTTGTTATTTGACAATACTGTCAGATATAACGATAAATTACAATATTTATTTTATATATTCGTTACTTTTTTTAATGAATTTATTAATGAAAGAACAATCACTTACCAGAGTTCGGATCAGACTGATTAATTCCTCTTGCTGAACGACAAAAATGAAGTGAAACTGATTTCACGGGATTAGAAATTGATGAGGTATTTGTTGATTCATTGGACAAAGCACTGTTACTAACTTCTAAATGGAAAAGCAAAACATGAATAAAAGACAATGAAATTAGGTGTATTTTGATAAATTACTCCTTTAGGCAGAAAAGTATTTTTTTATAGTTTTTAAATCATAAATCGATCTTAACTAAACCATCATTAAGACTCTAGAAACACTGGACAGGTGTTTCGTCCTAGCACGGGCATCCACACCGCCGCCATAGGAAATCGGACCTAGGACCCTCAGTCTCAAGTGAGAATGCTTAAACTCTATGCCATCGAGATGAAAGCCAATGGTGTTAGTTTATAACTTCAACTTACAATATTCAACGAACAATTTCTATTGCCTGAGATGGATAACTATCTCCTACCCTACATGGTCGAGTTCCATCGACAATTATTGATAAAGTTTCATATCGAATAGTAAAAAATCATTACAATTATTACTAATAATATCAATACAATATCAGGGTAAATAGTTTATATCATATCATGATGTACTATAACTATGTAGAAATAAAGTATACTGTAATTTAAAGAAAAGCCCGTATTTTGGTAATGAAATCAGTCTAATGGACTATCAGTCATAACAAGCAACAGATAACTACTTAATTCATGTTTTGTTATTGTCATAAAAGTGTTAATCTTCAAAATAAATTTGTAAGCTTTCAGTATTTTAATATGATAATGGTTCAATTTATTCTAATGATTACAAAATATACACTAATAATTTATAGAAATGACCGATAATAATATCGAATAGTATCAGAAGAGATTTTCTTGTGGATATTATAATAATTTTAATAGTTGAGATCATGAGTCAATTGAAGCTAGACCACCATGAAAAACTTGAAAGCACTGGACAGCCGTTTCATCCTGTAGTGAGACTCCTTAGCAATGCCTATCCACGATCCCACCTCATGAGACCTAAACCATGGACTTATCGTTCTTGCGTGCGAACGCTTAACCTTTATACTACTGATCCAGTATCCAACAGTGTTAATGTCTAACTTAAACCAATTCACGAAATTGAGCTTCCAGGTTTTCCATGATGGTCTAGCTTCAATTGACTCATGATCTCAACTATCTAACTACAGTATTCTTAACAATGACTACTCATAATTCAATGTTTAAAATTCAATTAATCATTAATAATTACAAATAAAATACATAAAAAATTAAATATTTAATATACATACCTTTAGTAACAACATTAATTTGACATTCATATGGGATGATTTGTAGACATAATGTTACCAAGAGTAACTTTTCAACAACAACCGAAAAAAAAAGAAAAAAAAAGAAAACGATCAACATAAGAATGATAAATGAAAACTAATCAATAAATGTTTACTAATTCCCTTTCCCCCTTTTTTTTAAAAAATTTGTACCTTAATACATGTATCTACCATAACAACTATGAACAGCGAATTGTTAATGAATAGAATTGAACTTTATATACTCATTTAAGAAGCTCAATTCAGTTTATTATTTATTTATTATTATTAATATATACTTTCAATAATCAATGAATTTCAAGTTAATATTTAATTAAATAATTTATAATTGTATACAAATACTGATTATAATAATTTGCCCTAATTTAGCATAGATTTCAAACATTTTTAATTAAACTAATAATAATAATAGTGGATCCAATTTACACATGATTGAACAAGTCATTGATTATTCAATGATCTAAATAGGAAAAATAATAATACAGTTCGAATAATGAACGTGTGAACCATATGATTTATACGAATTAAAAAAACAGAATAGTAAATCAGTTCCTTTTAGTAAAAAAATATATAATAAATGAGAACATAAGTGGGTTACTTACTTACTTACTTACTTACTTACTTACTTACTTACTTACTTACTTACTTACACCTGTTACTCCTAATGGAGCATAGGCCGCCGACCAGCATTCTCCAACCCACTCTGTCCTAGGCCTTGTTTTCTAGTTCCAAACACAAGTGGTTGATAATTAATTTATTGTTTAATAAATGATTATGGATATGAAGGGTCCACCTAGGGGAGTTGGAATACCCCTGGTTCGAAACCGATGGTATATATAGGCTCCAGAATGTTAAAGAAACAAATAGCGTATGAATCTATTATTGGTCACCGGCTACCATGGGATTGAATCTCCTTACGTTGTTAGACTGCCTTGTGGATTAGACATTTAAATCAAAGGCTCAGGGTGTGGCACTCTATGAAAACCAACTGCTTCGGTTTGGAAACCCGAGCATTATTCCAGCTCTCACAAAAATCGGATGATTTATTTGGAACATCTCTTTTTGGTGCCTCCTTCTACCATTGTTTATGTGTTTAGATAATAATAATAATAATAATAATAATAATAATAATAATAATAGTACAATATGATGGTAAAACATAAAATACATACATAGAATACTTCATTTACAAATTTCTATGATTTACACTTTACATTCTGTATGATTATTCGAATTCACAATTCTCTTCTATTTTCATTTATGTTTTCTTCAATTCGTGCTTTTTAATCTTCTACTGCCAGTCATTCAACTTTTGATTGGTGTTGTATACTACTTAATTCGACATGTAAAAGTAGCATACACCACATTGATATTAATTAGGATTTATCAAAAAAATTCTTTATTCACTTGTATCATGTTATGAATATATACTAACACAAGCTTAAGTAATTCAAAACAAGACTTCTTATTATTGCAAAGGTACTAACGAGTCACATAAATGACAAAGAAATGTGTTTCAGTTTCTTTAACATAATTCTTGAGTAAGATTACATTGGTTATGTTGTAATGGTGTTGTATTCTCTGAGCTGTAAGGTGATGGTTGGGAGCAGTCGACAAGAAATCCTGGACCTAGGTTTATTGCTGTCTGGAGCTCGTCATCAAAATGTGTCTATAATCTTGAGGAAATGGATGATCTATGGTGGATCCGATCTCGTGTCAATCAACTCACAGTCAAAAACGTTACCACTGAGTTATTCACGATTCAAGTGACCTCATTCAGGAATGACATGTCTTATAATTTGATTGATCACCGGCTAGTGACCAATGTCTTGTATGTTGTGTCCACCAGAGAGCATCACTTACCTCAAGATTACAGGCACATCTTGCTGACAAGTGTTAAATAGAACGAAACCTAGGTTCAGTGTTTCACGTCGACCACCTCCAAACACCACCTAATATTTCGACATAGTCCATTCAATAGTACACGGCTGAATTAATTAGAATCTAAAAAAAACTATTTTTTTATTATTGAACAAAATTTAAAGATAAATGTGATATGGTTTGTCGCTTGAATCCTACTTGTTATATCTGGTCGTTGCTGACTATTTTGTCGGAATCGTTTATTACGTATACTTGTAAAAACAAGGAACCACTGCAATTCTCACGACGGAAAAGTAAGAACACAAAGACTGGTATACTTACTTACTTACTTACTTACGCCTGTTACTCCTCGTGAAGGAGCATAGGCCGCTCACCAGCATTCTCCATCCAACCCTGTCCTGGGCAATCCTTTCTAGCTCCGTCCAGTTGTAATTCATCGTTTTCATATCTGCTTCTATTATCCGACGCAATGTGTTCTTTGGCCTTCCTCTTTTTCGCTTCCCTTCAGGATTCCAAGTTAGGGTTTGTCTCGTGATGCAGTTTAACGATTTGCGTAATGTATGTCCTATCCATTTCCACCGTCTTTTCCTAATTTCTTCTTCAGCTGGAAGTTGGTTTGTTCTCTCCCATAGAAGGCTATTGCTAAGATTGGTATAAGTGAAGATTTATTAACCCTAAAACACGATCATGACGTCGACGACAACTAGTCGAAAATACACTGACTTAAATATTGATTGTACACCCATTTTGATTAATAATTAGGATGAAATCTCATATATGAAAAATGCTCACAGTTATAAAAAATCACAGACTGAGCATAGTTCATGTCAATGAAATACAAGAATATCGTATATTACACAGAGTAAAATGTCATATGCAAAAACAGAACAAGTACTACATTGCGTAATCATTACATTGAATCAAAACGGAATTATTCTTGAACAAAACTTATAATGAGTAAATCAATCGAAAATTGACTTTTCTTTTCATCATATCAAAATGATATTTATCTTCTATTACGTAATCTGTGCATTTGAATTATTGTTTTACAGTTTTATTTCTATAACTCTTACATGAATTTACTAAAAATGATGTTTTAAATGATGATAATTTTAATAGTTGAGATCATGAGTCAATAGAAGATAGAGCACCACGAAAAACTTGAAAGCATTGGATAGCCATTTCGTCCTATTGTGAGACTCCTCAGCAATGCGCATCCACGATCCCACCTCGCGAGATTCGAACACGGGACCTATCAGTGTCGCGCGCTTTTGCTTAACTTCTAGACCACTGAGCTGGCCGATATCCAACGGCGTAAGTGTTTAACTTCAACTAATCCATGAAATTTAGCGACACATCCACCATTGTCATCTGTGAGTTATTATCTCACAACAGACCCAGTTGAACTCCACTGGTCACTGCTTCTCACTAGATTTCCAGGAAATACCTCTTGAAGCCAGTCACTATAATGATTATTATCAGAAGGGGTTTTGTGGAGATTTTAGTACTTTCAATAGTTGAGATCATGAGTCAATTGATGCTAGATGACCACAGTGCTTCCAGGTTTTCCATAATGGTCTAGCTTCAATTGACTCATGATTTCAACTATTCAAATTACTATAATTTTCAAAAAAAAACCTTCTGTTAAATGATAAAATTATTATAAAATTATATATTGGAGATATGATAAGGATTCAGAAAGAAAACATCAAAATCAATACATTTTTATTCAAATTATTGATAATTCAATAATAATAATAATAATAATAATAATAATAATTCTAAACTCCATCTGGAGTCCCTCCGGGGGCTGCTGCCGGTTCCAAGTCTGTATAAAGGAGGAGGGTTGGGCATGGGGTTAGCAACTCCATCCCGAAGAAAACTAACTCGCTAAAAAACGATAACCAGAAAA